ATATACCCCCTCTGTTTGGACATCAGTGTAGTCCAGTTGCCAAGAAACGAGTAACTACATCATTTTTACCACTGTAAGTTGAAAGTCAGCAAGTAACTGTTAATACAGCAGGTACCCTTGTAACGGTGAGAGGACTGAGAGACTTTCACATAGTAAAATTCCACTTGATTACCAAGTAGTGCTCGCTTGGTAAAATTGCTTTCACCTCCATTTAGGTGTGTCAAATGAAGATGCTTCTTCAGTGTGTGCCGGGGAATTAGTTGCAAACCTAGCAGTCTCTCTATGAAATATTTTCCTTGTAGACTAAACCCAAAGTTTCCATTGCTTAATTTTAATGTATTTTATTCCTGGTTCATCTCCTGATGCTGCATGTAGAATTGAAAAAGAACCTTAACAGGTTTGGGGTTTGGTTTTTTTTTTTTCATTATTTTAAACCAAAACTTACAACTATTTAAATATCTTCTCTGATTGCATTCCTCTAAACCCCCCTTATGCTGGAAAGCCTCCCATATTTATACACTCAGAAATCAACAAAATCACTTACCACAGTTTCATGTGCAGACAATGATGGAGGAGACGGAGTGAACAGTTTGGCCCTTGCCCCCTTTTTAAGTTTGCAGAGTCAGTGGCAGAGTGTTTTGTTCCTGGCTATGCCGGTGCGAAATCAAAGTAGCATGATGGACTCAAATAACTCTGGCTCCAGCTTATCATTAACTTCAAGGGATTTACTCCACACTTCAATCAGTCACTGAATACATAATCTGACCTGGGAAAAGGCACAAACTGTAAATCAGTGCCTGATTTGGTCCTGAGCCAATGCTGGTGGGAGAAGTGGTTTCAAGAGATTCGATAAAAGGTATTTCTTAGATAATGAACACTCCTACAGAAAAAGGCCTTATCAAATGCGGAATGAGTATGGTCTATCAAACGTTTGCTTTCAACTTCTTCTGATCCTCTGTAAAGTAAAAGCTCTGGATGATGCAGCATGGGAGGGAGCTTTGGCCTCTTACGTGAAAGGTTACGGCATTTGGAGGCATTGGGTCTTGTGTCACCCCCATGTTCTGTGGGTGGAGAAGGGGATGCTGGAAACACTCCTTGGCTCAGTGGCACTCTTTAAGAAGGAGAGAAAATTACTTTTTTTATTATAAGTTTTGCCAAATGATCTCTGAGAAAATGTGATATCATTCATATGCATTGCCAAGCTGGAGAGATGCCGCACATCTTGGCAGACATCTAGAGCTAACATATAATTCCTTTGGGTTGGTATGGGCTTTATCAGAAACGGCTCCATATGCAGTATTTACATAACTGTGGTGGAGTGTGAGAATAAACACAGCTGTGGCGTTGCCCTAAATATTTCAATTCAGTGGGGAATTAAGGGAACTTTATCACTGAACTGCAGATAAACAGAAGTCAGTAAGCGGTGGTCAGTTTAGCCAAGGAACAAATCAAAGCTACAATGGCTGGACTGCTAGAAATATTTAAGTGCTTTAGTGTTGGAGTTTACTAAGGTCACTGGTATTTTTTTGCTTTTCAAAAAATATGGAAATGCCATCAGTCAGCTGTTATACAAAAAACATCATCCAAATGGACTGGTGAATCAAAGCAGCGTAGGCTGAAAGGCAGAAAAGGGGAGTTTATAGGGACTCAGCGCTTTCCGCATCTGATTGCAGTCGGAGCCCATGGGTTTCCGGGAAGATTATAAGTTTCTGTCAGATCTCCATCCCAACTGACTGCGGAGATTGGAGTCCTGGATCTTGAGGAGAAATCTGTAAGCCTGGTTTCTTAAAGATAGTTTAGTGCCCAGATCTTATAGCAAATAGCCAGCAGCAGAGTTCAGACAGTTGAAGACTTAGACTTTTGTCCTTATGGTATGAATAAAAAAGGTACTCTACCTAGCAGCTTGCACAGGAAAGATGCTTGCAGATGTATTCCTCAGGCTGGACTAGTGCTGTGGATAAAAGGATTCAGTTTCAGGGCTGTCAATGTAGCGTTCATTCCCGTTTTGAACCCATTTTTGAGAAGTGTAGCAGTATTGTCCAATCTTCCTGTCACTCAGCTCATGGAATGAGGTAGACTTTCTGTAGTTGTTAGTGCATCACCATCTAACTTCGATGAATGACAAGCAGTCCCCAAAATATGCCCGTTAGAAGTCACTTTAGGAATGATATTTTAAGAGTATCTTTGCAAGTATGGCTCAGTATGTGTATGTGCATATGTATACTGGACTATATACATTGCTATCACAGTAGAATGTGTATATATTAGAATATGCATAGTTTAGAACTTCTTATGCATAGTTTAGAACTCCTTAAACAGAATTGTTAAGAGCTAACTAAATGTGCATTATTTTAGCGGACAGAACTCTTGTAGAAATGCTTAAATAAGCCACCTTCAAGGGAAATACACTTTGATGAAGGCCCAAGTAGCCAAATACTTGTTCATATGTTAATCCACTTGCTTTAAGGAGGAACTTAAGTGTATTCTAAATTGGAGGGAAGCAAGTTGCCATTTGGAAGCTCTTTCAGTTCTAGATAATTTATTTTTAAACCGAAGCCTGCGACAACTCTAACTTGAAAAGAAATGACACAAGTTTGCTGCTCTTCCTTTGCAACTGAAAAAGCAGCACATTCTTCTGTGTCTTCGCAGTCCTTGTTCAGCGCTTTGTTTACCGCACAATACACAGTGGCTTTGGAGGTGGGAGTTCCCTTATAGAAACCACAGGCTTTGTGAAGAGCAGTGTTTCACACAATCCATACAGCGCATTAACATTTTTTGAAAACAGCAGAATACTTCTGTGCTGTCCAAATATTTTTTCTCTTTAAAAGAAGTATTAAAATGGGAGCTAGAGTGCAGAATATACTGAGTGCTGCTCCTGGCTTGTTCCCTGCCTCATCTGGGTTATGGACCTTTCCACTTTGTGGGTGGTGAAATGGGGATGCTGTCACTGACCTCATTTGTAAAATGCCGTGAGAACTTGTGCCAAAAAGTGCTCTGTAAGTAGTAAGCAATGTTTCACCGATTACCACAATGTCCTTTGAAAATCCAAGCCTGCCTAGTTTGTTTCCATTGATAGCTGCCTACAAGACCAAGTTCAAACTCAAGTTCCTACAGCAGTGGGAGAGCAGTGTTTCTGATGGAAAGACAGACCAGAGTGTGGTAGCTGTGCATGATTGTAACGATCATTGGACACAAATGTCTAAATCATAACTGTCAGGGAGACAGCTTTTTCTGGCAGTTCAGAAAAAATCAGAGTGTGATTGGGAACGTGCCTATCTACAAACATAGTTTACTTTTTCACCAGACCTGCATCATCTGACAAGGAATTTTCCTTTCAGTACCTGAGGTTGAATCCTCAGTGCATCCTGGAGTGGCTAAATAAGAGCCTTTATTTTCAGTCAGTGCTGAGCTCCAGCAGCTTTACTGAGGAAACGTGCGTTACTGTGTTGGCTCGGCGCTTTCTGAAAAATCAACCCACTTTTTAAGCTATCCAGACAGTGATTTAGGACCCTGAACAGTTCAGCTGCTGCGTTTGGAAAATCATGACCTTTTCTATCTTTAGAGCAGTGTCTATGTGGAGACCTCCCCTTCCCAAAAAGGACAAACACGAGGCTAGCAGTCCTTGCTCTCCAAACCCCAGAGAGCTGCGCAGATCGTGTCGCCCTCTGTTCTGGATTCTGATCTGGTTTAACCAATTAATTAAAATCTCTTAATTGTTAGTTAAGCTCCAAATTGCAGGATTTTTAAATTGCATAACAAGTATTTGCATTACAGTACTGTCTTGAATCTCAACCTGAATAAATTCTGCTGAACTAATTACTTTTCCACTACAGAAAGGAGTCATTGTGTGTCCCATAGGTTGGGCAGCAATACACAGAAGTACATGCTTAGGCTCAGATCCCAGGTCGAATTTGTGTGGGTAACATTCAGGGGCAGTCACTGTGTGTGTGTAATGAAAAAGCACAAATGTCATACGGAGTTGAGCGGTGGGCAGTGACCAGGGCTTGGTTTTATAATCACTACGTAAAGATAAACCTGACGATTACTTAGTGGGTTATTTAACAGATGTTCAAGTAAAAGTGGCCCACAAAGCTATAAAGAGCACACAAAGCCCCACTAATAACTAATAACTTCACTGAGAACAGAGCTGAAATAGCTGGAGCTGCCTCTCAAAGCATTTTTTTTCTTCTTGTTGTTAGCAAAGGTGTTGGCACAGGTCCCATAACCACGATGGACAGGATTCGTTTTCCTGGAAACTGTGTTCGCCTGTGCTTTTCAAACCACAGTGATGGGGTGGAAGCCCACAGGATGGTCTAGTAAGCATGTTTTTTGGGGAAGAAAACATCTCTCCACAGGAGTTTGGAAAACTGTAAAAGATGCCTGCCAGCAGCAATCACACGGCTGCGGTTAGCACTTTCTTGCTGCCGCTGTTAGCAGGGTCTAAATGGAGCATTGAGGACATTGGTAACTCCTGGAGAAGGCCAATTACACTGGGCTTCTGGTTGATGCTTAGTGGTGTCACTGAAACCACAGTACAATCCTAAGAAAACTCCTCCATTTGGTATGAGGGTGGTTTTCATTTAGCTCTGTATGTGTAAAGTAAACACATTGAGAAACTCTGGGTGTGCTGTTATACGCAGCTAAAGAAGGCACCAGCTTACCCCTGGCTTCTCCGCAGTCATGTCCCGTACGGTTCTGGGTGGTTGCCGTGTCGGTGAATGTTATCGGGTGAATGGAAACTCCTGTTGACATGCTAGATGTGGGGTTACATCAGCACTGGCAAATCCCCTTCTCAAGGATTTTACCATAATGCCAGTACAGACCTGGCTTCAGTTAAGATCATCCTACCGTATTCAGATGTTGTAAAGGTAAGTTTTTAGTGCTAGGTCTTGATATTAGTATCCTTCTTTTTAACTCATTGCTAACACTAAGTGGGGTAATAAGTTTAGCCACCTAACGGTATCTGAGTGAACATAATGTTTTTCCCCCCATTTTTCTAGACTTATTGAAGTTCATTCACCTGATGCCAAGCACACCGTGGTGCTCAGGAGTAAGGATTCAGCTACAGCCCAGGCGTGGTTCAATGCCATCCACTCCAGTGTCAATGAGCTCATCCCCAGGGTGATTGCAGAGGTCAGAGACCAGCTGGGTAAAACAGGGATTGCTGGAAGTCGAGAGATTAGGCATCTAGGCTGGCTTGCAGAAAAGGTAATGAAAACATTCTTATTTTCATTTCTAAGCTCTCTCTTTCTCGCTCGCGCTCTGTTCCTGAATTCAGCCTTGTCTGGAAGTGGAGAGGCTAAGTGAGGTTCTGAGTTTTGATTTAGCTTTCCATGAAGACCTTTCTTCTCTTAATGGACCAATTTTTGTGCTTTTAAAAAAAATTAAAAAAACCTAGAAGGTCCCCTGAGTCTTTGCTTCTGTATGACAATTAGCAAAGGCTTTCCTGGGAGATGAGAAGTCTCTTGATCTGTCCAGTTTAGGCATGGGCCATGAGTCACAAAAACTGACAACAGCCTCAAGCGCCTCTGCTGTTATGTCTCCCGTTCACATATATGAGATGTCACCTTCCTACTCCCAGCCTGGGAAGTAACCAGCTACTTGGTCCATGGTCCACTCTCCGCTGTGCCTGGCCGCAGGAGCTGGGCATGGTCTGGAGCATGAGGTGGTGTCCCCACTGCGCCTGGGAGCTTGTTCCTTAATTGTAACCCTGCATTTGAGCTGATCTTCATAGAAGGCCAAGCTTGCAACTCTTACCCTGTGTCTTGCACAGTTTGAGGCTCAAAATATTTTATGCCACAGGGGAAAGCTGGTGTTCAGTTCGAAGTATCTATTGACCTGTGGAAAGCCGACCCATGAATGCACAGGGATGGTATCAGTATGAGATGATCTGGTTTTAAATCAGTAGTCTCAGAATTTGTTTTAGGCACTGTACCAACTGGTAAGTGTGGATTTGCTATGGTAACAGCATTAGGATTGGGCCTAGAAATACCTCCCATCCAGATATTGCCTGGGTGGCCATTCAGAGCATCTCTGCCTCCAGCTGGGGTGCGTGGAAACATGGCCACTATGTACACACTGCCCTTTCAGCCTGTGCATCCAGCACAGCTGTGGAAAGCTGACTGCAATTGCCCTGAAAAAAAATACGTTTTAGCTCTATCTGGGATTTTGTGGATGAAAATATGGGAGCCACAGGCACAGGTGTCGTATTTCTAGCTAGTGTCCTTTAAGAAGGTACACCATTAATTTTTAGCAAAACATGGATCAGTCCACACCACTTGTAGCTAGGCGATGATTGCAAAACCTTTCAGGCAGATTTGTATGTTTTCCTGTCCCTCCCTCCAGGTTGCAGAGTGGGGAGGACAGCGCAACTCTGTGGCTTAGTGCTGTAGAAAATGTAAAAATTTTGGGGAAAAATTTGGGGTTAAATCACCAAAGCACTGGTAAGTAAATTTTAACAGTATTAAACTGTACAGCCATGGTTTTTTAATCTTGTTTCCCCTTTTGTATCAGTTTCTATAAACTTACGAAAAGCTGAATTCTGTTGCAAAATCCTCTCCTCTGAAAGTGTAACTGCTCTGTAGCAGATCATATAGACGTTATAGGTGAAATATTCACAGGTCATTTTAAGCAGACACATGGAACACTTCTGGTTTATGAATTTCCTCTCCTTACAGTTAATACACAATATCCCATTCACATGCTTCTTTCTCCTCTTTTTTTTGCCTTACGGACTGAGATCTTATTTCATGTTACTCATTATGGACCAGTTCAAGGTCCTGC